ATATAAACAACTTACAGACAATGGAATTGATAAATTACTTGCACAACATATAGCTCACTTATTTATTAGAGATAGTGTTTCTCTATTCTCTGAAAAAATACATCAGAATGATTTAGAGGATACCGATCATTTTGAAGTAATTAACGTTATTATTATTAATTGAATTTAACTATAAAGATATAAGTTTGTATCATTATAAAATTTCAGAATATACAATCAACTAATTGGCAAACCATGCGATTTAAACCACCACCACCAAATTCATCTATAGGATGGCGCGTTGAATTTCGTCCATGTGAAGTTCAAATAACGGATTTTGAAAATGCTGCAATAGTTTGCTTTATTGTTCTTCTTACAAGAGTTATTTTAAGCTATAAACTAAATCTTCTGATACCAATTAGTAAAGTTGACAAAAATATGGCTCGAGCACAAAGGAAAAATGCAGTTATAGCAGAAAAATTTTGGTTTCGTCGAGATATTACATCAGACGTAAAAAAACAAGATGATGGACAACCAGAGTGTACAGAATTTACTGTTAATGAAATTATCAATGGGAAGGTACTGATATTTTATTTATAAATGAAATTGATTAACAAATTTCAGAAATTCTGTAATATATTATTTTGTATTAGGATGGTATTTTTCCGGGTTTAATACCCTTAGTAAATTCGTACTTAGCTAGTATGGATGTAGATGCGGATACACATTGTACTGTACAAGCATATATGAAATTAATACAAAAGAGAGCTTCTGGAGAATTATTAACTACTGCTGCATGGTTAAGAAAGGAAGTTGTTTCACACCCAGAGTACAAGTATGTATCATTTATATATATGTACAAAATATATGAAAATGTTTATTATATTTTTAATTTTATATTACATTATTAATATAGAAACGATTCTGTAATAACACAACGTATCAACTATGACTTACTAAAAAAAATACAAAAGATTGTATCTAATGAAATATCGTGTCCAGAATTACTTGGAACGTGTATATCATCCAAAACTAATGAAACTATACCTGCAGCGGTTGCAAAAGCAGAAAAGGTTCCCATGTGAATTATTGTGGCAATGACTTAAGCACATTATGCTTAAATAGATATAGATACAATATAGATACACAATGACTTAAGTAGATCACAATTAATTTAGATTTAATTTTTGTTTATTTTAATACTTGAGAGCTTGTACATATTTAAGATTTAAAATCTTATGTGTTCATATGCCCAATGATTACATGTTTTCTAAAAATAATAACATTCCATAAAATAATTGTTCTCCGGCATATTAAAAATATGCGCATTTGTAAAAATTTTTGCAATAGTAATTTGATTATAAGAGGAACAATTTTAATATAAATATACAATGTAAATTATGATGTTCATACGGTTAAATATAAATAACTACTAAATTACAATAAAATGCATGCTATGTACATCAATTTTAGAAAATATATAAATAAGAAATAGTTTCCTTTGAGGTCAAATGTACTTTATAATATTGTAAAAACGTTTGATAACTTATAACAAAAAACTTTTGGGATCTGCATTATCTATGATACTATTGTTGTTTTATGTTCGATACTATATTGTTTATTTAATGATAAATATTATGTGGCTCTTCCCAAAAATCAAATTTTATTACTGAACAATACTTAAAGCATAAAATTTAATAGTATTAACATTTGTATTTAAAAAAATATATGTTTATAAATTTTTATTTATTTTATATACCTATTTTTATTTTCCTAAACTTGTCCTATAGGAAATATAAGTATTCCATGATACAGCTACTGACTGTACTACTAAAACTTGATATTGTAAAGGTACAAAATAAAAATTGAATAGTTGCACCATAGGCCACAGCTGAAAAAATTATGAAATGGAGAAGTTTCTTATGAAAACTTACTTTTTAATATTTTTAACATATCATCAGCATTATTGTTTTACCTTGTAATTATTCTTTAATATATCTGGATATTCGTCATACAATTTTTTTTTTAACTGTTCTAAATCATTTCCTTGTAAAATACCAATTGCTGATAGTAAAACTATTAGAAATACAGGTGCAAAAAGCAATTGATCACAAGACACTTTCTTTAATACTACAATTCCTCCCTTTGAGCCAATATGTTTATCTAATATTCCATACCAAGTTCGTGTGACAGGTCCCTGTCACATAAATTTAATAGAATATGTTATAAAAAACTTCTTATGCAACAGATTATTTCAATTAATTATATTACATAGATGAGCTTTGACAAACCAATTTCACACATGTTATAAATTAACATTGAATTCTTCAGTATGTTTGTATTAAATTTACTTACAGTAAGAAAAAATCCTATGCATCCAAACTGGGCTGTTCTTACAAAATCTAAATCTTTAATTTTTCTTCGTTCGATTAAATTTTGTGCAATTTGATCTCCGAGTGCCATTAACGTGCCTGTGTGTTTAACGATATAAATAATTATTTATATGTATATATGAAAAAAATATACATGTAATAGATAAAAGAATTTCAGATATTTCAAAAATATTTTTTACCCGCTTGCGTCGCTTGTGTGAGTAATGGATATTTTGTTAATAATCTTCGGTATATTTTGATAACATTCAGCATACTTATAGAATGTGCCATTATCGTATAACAATTATCGCAGTTTTATTGGTTATTTTTTAACTTCATATACACATCATATATTTTCAATCTATATACATGTACATATTACAACTGTATGATCGTCATATTATGAAATTATTTTATTGAGAATACGTTTGATTAATACGTTTCAATTTGTGGATAGTTGCAATAGAATAATTTTAGATAATAATATAATAATAGTAATAATATGATAATAGAATAATTTTAGATTTAATCTATTAAATCATAGGGCGCACACATACGTACATACATATATGTCATATATTTTATATATATATATATGTTGCATCTTCTATATTAATTGTTAATCATACAGTTTTTGTATTATAAAACCATACTCAAAGTAAACATTTTAATATACTTGTAAATAAATACATAGATCTTGCCAAAATTTATTTGGTATTCCTTTAATGAAAGTTTGACATATGAATCGCACAGTTGGTCATACTGCTAAACTGACAGTATCATTAAGAAACGGTTGCAAAGTAAAGATGGCAGTGAGAGGTGGTGCACGAATTCTCCTTCTCGTAATTTTATGTATTTTCTTGTTAAAATCGTGTAATGGAGCCGCGACAGATATTGAATTAGACGCGAAGGCACAGCTATTGCACAGGCTCGATAGTTTAAACCTTTTACTATATACATTTTTATTGATATTAACTGTTTTAACAATATGGACATTTAAGCATCGTCGTCTTAGGTTCCTCCATGAAACTGGGCTAGCTGTCATTTACGGTAAGTCGTCTGCTGTTGTTATACGTTCACGTATTAAAAACGTAAATGTAACGCGCACGTCTAAGTTTAACTACAAAGGAATTCTCGTCATTGCATCATTATATATAGTATGTATTAAATACTTTTTGAAATCTATATATATATATTTTTTTTTCATATACAAGGTGAATAGGAAAAAGAGTTCGTAACTTCTAGAATAGATAGTACTCACCGAAACATGAAAAAAAAAGTTCTGAGAAACAAAGGTTTCGAAAAATTAATAGTTTTAAAATTATAAACGATTTTTTGTTTCGAAAAACCAAATTCCTCGCTTCGAGATCATACGAGTATGAAGTAGTTTACCCTTTTAATTTCTTCTTTCCTTGATTACAGGAAATTTTCTATGTGTCCTTCTTCCATTTCTATGCATGCTTGACATCTTCGTATTAAAAAACTCTTCCAAAGATTCCCAGATGTGTTCTAACTTTTTCACAAGTCGAGACAAAAAATCATTTATAACTTTAAAACTATTAATTTTTTGACCCATATTTATCAGGCCTTTTTTTTATGTTTCAGTGAATATTATCTTTTCCAGAAATTGTGAACCCTTTTTTCTATTCACCCTGTATAATGTAATGTTTTTCTTGTGCTTTCAAATTCTGATTCAATTATATCAGTGAATTAGAAGTGCACGACTAATCTTATGATTAGTAGAAATGAGATATTTTATATATATGATTCTATTTGTGACTGTATAAAACTAACATTTTTTTGATAAAATATGAATAATATGTTTCATTGTTAAAATATTTACCTTATTGTCGTTATTTTATTCATTATCCATATTTTATCTATATTATTTTTATCAACATGAAAAATATATTGTGAAATACATTATCAATGATTTTAAGTTTAAATTGTATATTTTCTAAAAATTATAAAATAATATAATAAACATCCTAGTTACATAAATCATGAAAACAATTTATTGTCAAGTATTAGATCAATTTTTTTAATGATTTTAAAAATTGTAAATTGTTGTTAATGCATGTATTTCTTTAGGATTAATTATAGGAGCAATAATTCGTTATGGCTTTACAACAAGTAGTACCATTCTTCATATGCCCGTTGTGCCAGATGCCAGCAGTAAATATAATCAATCAGTTCCTCCAGATACGTTATGGTTGCGTTTTCCAGAAGACAAAGGAGGTGGTGTTATTAAAAATAAAACATTTGCTTATTCATTTAGAGGAGAAATTTATAAGCAAGATAATGAAATAGATTTGAAGGTAACAAAATAACATGAATGCTTTTGTAGTTAGTTCCAAATTTATCTAATTAATATAAAAATATATAATTTTAACAGGCAACCTTTGATCCAGAAATATTTTTTAATATTATTTTACCACCGATTATTTTTCATGCTGGATATAGTTTAAAACGTGTAAGTAATAATAGATTAATTTTTTTATATTATACTATTAATTTCATATTTTTTCTTATTTCAGAAATACTTTTTTAGAAATTTAGGAGCAATTCTTATGTATGCTTTAATTGGAACATCTATATCAGCTTTCGTTATTGGGTATGTCTACATTAATAAGAAATATCGAAGATTAATAAGTAGGCAGTAACTTTCATGTTACAATAACAAATTTATTTAGAGACTTGTATGGAATGCTTCTTGTGATAATTTTGTGTTCATAGGTCATTTAGATTAAATATATCTGTTGTTTTAGATTGAATATATCTATTGTAGATAAAAGCAAAAATTCTTTGTAAAATAATGTTTTTTTAATTACACATTTCTTTGACATGTACATTATTTGTTTTCTTTTCAGAGCTTTGATGTATGCCTTTGTACAGTTAATACCACATCTTTCTGCTTCATTTACATTTTTGGATACTTTGTATTTCGGTGCATTAATATCTCCTACGGATCCACTGACAATAATTTCTATTTTTAATGATTTACATGTAGATGTAAATTTATATGCTTTAGTATTTGGAGAAAGTGTGTTAAATGATGCAGTTGCAATTGTACTTAGTGGGTATGTATATAAAAACATTGAAAATAGAGAGTTTCAATCAAATATATATATAAATTATGTTTTATTGCAGTTCTATACAAAATTATGGAGAACGTTATCAATCAGGTTCAGGTGGATTTGAAACTGTAGCATTTTTCCAAGCATTTGGTGATTTTGTTGGAATATTTAGTTTATCTTTATTTATTGGTGCTACTATGGGCTGTATCACTGCTTTGTTAACTAAATTTACTAGAGTTCGAGATTTTCCTCTTTTGGAATCAGCATTATTTGTTTTAATGTCCTATAGTACATTTTTAATTGCTGAAGCATCTGATCTTACAGGTAATATTCATGACTTCAAAACTTACATTACTTTACCTATATTTTTTTCTAATAAATAGTTAATATTTTAAATGATTATTTATATATAGGTGTAGTCGCTGTTTTATTCTGTGGTATTTGTCAAGCACATTACACATATAATAATTTAAGTCCAGATTCGCGTCAACGAACAAAACAACTATTTGAACTTTTAAATTTTTTAGCTGAAAACTTTATATTCAGTTATATTGGTGTTTCAATGTTTACTTTCCCGAAGCACCATTTTGATCCAGGTTTTATTTTTGCCGGATTTGTATCCTTACTATATAATAATTTTCAATTTTAGAACAATTTTAACTTTGGTTAACTGTTAAATCCTTAACTACTTTATTATAGCTCTGTGCATTATTAGGTCGCGCAGCCAATGTATATCCATTATCTTTTATATTGAATTTAGCGCGAAAACCAAAGATATCGTTAAATTATCAGCACATGTTATTTTTTGCTGGATTACGCGGAGCTATGAGTTTTGCTCTAGCCATCAGAAATACTGTATCTGATGCTCGGCAGGCTATGTTAACAACGACCAGTTTAATTGTAATTTTGACAGTGATTTTCCAAGGTGGTGCAACAACCCAGTTTTTAAGCTGGTTCAATATACCGTGAGTGCAAAAGATCTGTTTATTTATTCTTTTTATGATTCATTTATTCAAATAAATTATTTTCTTTCAGAGTTGGAGTAGATGAAGAAATAGAAGGACTATCGCACAATGGAATGCGTAGTGTAAGTATTATATTTTCATTTTTAATTATTTACAGTTACTAGTTTCCATTTTACAGAAATTAATATAAGTAATATGAAACGGAATTTGCACTAACATATATAGTGTATGGTAGATTTTTTTTGTATATTTTGGTATAAATAATATATATTAATAATATGTAGTTTAACTTATCCATTGCCAATATTTGTTTTAAAGGAATGTAATTCTTTATTATATTTTGCAATCTTTTCAAACTTTCTTTATTATCTTTTAATTGTGTTGCTTGTTAACTTGGATTTGTTATTTTTATTTTTTTGTAAATAATAAATTTATGTATATATATTACAAATATTGAAGCAGTGATATTTAATTATTTAGTACATATTCAAATAAAAGGTATAAATTTTTGTTAAATACATCAAATACATCAAAAGATGTCAAAAGCAAAATTTTAATAAGATTAGATTTTATTAGATGTTGATCTTAACATCTTAATAGGTATTTTTAATATTCAGAAAGCATCTCTCTATATACGAAAATATGATGATTTTTAGTGAATAATCGATTTTATTAATAATCTATATTATTTATAAATTAAAAAATATGTTGGTTCATCAAGTCAATATTTAAAATTAAAATTTGAAATATTTTAAATGTTAAAAAACGATAAGATTCTCAAAATGATATTTACTCATTAGAATTTATTTATTTTAACACATGTTTATTTGCACATTTTTAACTTATTCAAATTTTAATTAATAATAAAGAATATCTAATATAAGTAAATAGAAAATAGAAACAAAAGTTTTTTTAATTGCTGACTTTTTGGACCATTTATTCATAATATATATAAAGTCATTAAATAATTTAAATTGTTCAGCAGTATAATGTTTCTTTAGAAAAGTTAAAATAGAAATATATATTTGCGCATGAATACTGCAAGATTGTTCTTATACTGCTACATTTTCTATCTTTTAGCCCCCAAATTGTTATATTCCGAATTTTGTGGTGTGTATTTTTAATATTATATACTATTATCAAAAAATCTAAAAACTTTTGTTTCTGGTTTTAAAAAAATGTACGAAAAGATAGTATTTGCAAATGTTTGTTTTCTAATTCCACTTAAGTAACCTTGGACAAGACTATTGCACAAGAATTACTAAATCATAAATAGCTTGCACTAGAATTTAACTTTTTGAAAAATCCAGCATGTTTAATTACATTATAACAAATTTGGTAAAAATGCTTGGTTAATTCTAAGTAATTCGCTTAATAATTATCATAAAAGGATTAGAATTTAACGTACTAATGTTAATAGTCTGGTGGCGAAGGTGGCTTTGGAGATCTGGACATACGTAGGGAGCGAAGTCCGCCGGTATGTTTTCACATTAATTCAAAAATTGAGTTATGTTGTTTATGTGGTCATAAATAATTCATGCATTTAAATTGTATACGAATTCCTATGTTTATTACATTGAGATTAATTTGATCCTATAATCTTTTGTAGTTTATATTTAATCTTTTCCTACAATTATGCAACATATAAATTATTAGTTTTGTACATTATAAATAGTACCATATGAGCTGCTTTCTGTCATTGGTACAGATGTACAAAATAATCAAATTATAGTACTTAGTAAGGGATTGAATAAAAATTATCTTATTAAAATATTTGCAATGACCACTAATTGTTATATTTTATTAATTAAATATATATCAAAATATTGTTATTTAAATACCTTAAAGATTGAATTATAAATATATTAATATCTATTAATATATACTATTTTTAAAGATAGGATTTAGTTTCAAGTGATATAAAAATTATAATTTTATTTTAAAGATTTATAAATAATAATCTATTTAGGATTTAAAATTTTAAAAATGATTTTACTAACAAATTTATAGATGCTTATGATTTATATTTCGTAAATTAGCTTCTATAATTAGTTACCTAATTTTCTATTTATTTATATGTACATAAGAAAAATTAATTCTAATATTGCTATAATGTTTGGCTTTACATATAAAATTATAATTTTGTTTTCATTAAACATCAATTTGATTGCTAATTGCATGTGCTTAAATATATTTCTTTTTGTATCATTTTTGTTATCCATTCTGTATGTTGATGATTAGTAGTGTATAAAATATATATATATATATAT